GGCCCTGAACAAGAAGTCTTTTCCCCCAGAAAATGCACATATTCCATAATGTGAGTAATAGTTCCTGGCCTATGGGATCTGCACAAATGATCCCTCATAAAATACTTTGACATTTCAACGGTCAATTAGACGGAAATAATTCAGAAGGACCAATTTCGCCCAATAAATGGACGGTCAGGAATGTTTGTGCTTAGATTTGAAAGTTCAGGACCATATATGCAGCAACTCCATAGGTTAGGGACCATTTGCACCAATTCCCCCTCTCAAATATAGTAGGTCAAACCTAGCTACATTTATACTTTGGTTTATGTTTTGTCACGTAGCATTACCCAATTGAACAATTTAAATTTTAAATAGTTTTTTCATCCAATGCATTGTTTACAACAATTCAAGTGTCAACCAAAATGTATAAATTCAAGTTAAGAATGGCAAAAGTCCTACAAGGTCACGGTAGAATTGCAAATCAACAAAGCATTTTCCTTTACCATCGTGATGATAGGTATATGACTCCCCAAAATAGATTTTGTAAAGATTGTGGACTTTTCCTAGAAGACCAAAACACCAGTTCTGTCAATAAAAGTAAAAACAAATTCAAGCAACTTTTCATTAGCATCGGTTTGGCGTGTCCTTTGTGCAAATATATCAGTTAACCACCATACGACCCACTCTCTTCTACAAAATCAGGATTTAATTTCAGGCTCGTGACATAAACTGTGAAAAATCTACACAAAAGATTGATTTCACAACATTCTGTGCGTCGGGATTTAACTACATGCTCATGCAATAAACTGAGCAAAAACTACAGAAAAGATTGATTTCACAACACTCTTTGCCGGCTGGAGTTTGTACGTGTTACAGTTGGCACTTCTTGATAGTCGTCAGGATCATCCTCCTCATCCGAGGATAGGAAAGACGGACCCATCCATGACTTAAAACCTTCATTCACACGCATCTCCAAATTTGGTGTGACTTCCATTGGGTATGTTTCGAGCATTTCCAGCCCGAGATTCCTACCAGCAAAGTCACTCTCGTCATATATTACAGCTGCTTTTCTTCTTAGGCAGAAGGCAGTTCCCGCGTACAAAAAGACCAGCCCCCATAATGAAATTTCATAGCACCAAAACAAAGGCAACGAGCAGCGGCTACCTAGTGTGAGGAGAGTCGAACCAAGAAATAGGGCAAGAAGACCAAAAATGATTGCAAACACAATGTTTAGGATTGATAGACAGCGTACACCACCTGTAAATGACCGAGAGAATTTCACTAAAAACTCAAGAACTCGTGCTGCAAATAATCCATCAAAAGAAAACAAGATAAAATCTAGTGCAGAAATAATGTGAAGGTTTAACCAAAAAATCTCTTCGATCAATATATATTCTTCTAAGGAGAAATATATCTCCTTTCTTGCGTGTGTTTTATCGAAACAAGATCATAAAAGCAAGTTGTTTATCATCCTACACTTGAAGTGTTTTGGAATTATAAATCCTCTTGGTATATCTTTTCAAGCGATAATAGCAGTTGTTAGCCAGCCCTATGCCAAATTGATTATCTATCAACTAAAAAACCATTGTTGATCACCATATTGGGTGCTTCAATATCAGACAGTAGCTAGTCTACAAGGCAGTAACAAATTAACAATACATTCCCTTTGTTTCGCAACTAAATTTTCATTCCTTTCCGCAAAATTTTTTCCATGTATCTGGTTGAATAGGTAATAATTTTTCTTCTCAGCATCTTTCCTTTTGTCTTTCCCCAAATCCCTGTCATTTCTCTGTGTTTCTCGCCATCCCTTCATCATTTTTTACCTTCCC